CAGCACGCGTGTCTAGAGTAGACACGCGTGCTCTGCGTAAATTCCCGGACATCTACGTTGTATAATAGTGGCGACGAGTGAAAAAAAAGTGAAAAATTGCGTAATAGTACATAAACAACAAATATTTATAACATTTTTGAGTGAAAAGTGTAGTTTGATGAAAACCCAAAATCCTTTTTTTTTTGTCCAATGAATGGTATGGTCATCATTGTATGGTAGGGGTAGACTTAGTTCTAAGTATACATAATATAAAATTAAAAATTGATAAAAAATACTTCAATTTAAACTTACGTGAAAATGCAGTGGTGATATCAAAGAAATCGGTACCAAAATAGGTAATCTCTGGTAGGTTAGGTTCAATGTGTTCCTTGAAGTATTCCATAGCCATTGTAGTCAGGTCAAATAGCTCATCAGTTACTTTGTAAGGCCTTGCTAACTTAGTAGTTGTTTTTAGGTATGATAGAATGCTGTAAACTTCATCCAATATCTAAAAAACAAGTATGTAAATTAATTCATTTGAATTACATACAATCACAGAGAAGAAAACCTGTCTAAACAATGTTGAAGCTATTTATTTTACAGGATTGGTTTATTCAAGTTTAAGTTTTTTCTTTATCTCTGCCTATATGAATAGTAAATGCACTGAGACCTAATAAGCATAAAATAATTCTGAATTTAAGATATAAGAGAATAAAATAAATAATAAATTGATGAAAACTATTTAGACTAAGGAAAATACTAAGATTTCAATTCACATATGCACACGCATATGTGACACTATAAATAACTTTGCTGGTAATAATAATAATTGGACCCATTAATATAATCACTTCTTATAATACAAACATCTATATCTCTCAACTACATACATAAGGCTCGCACAGTTTGAGGGATGATTTATATTAGACCAGACAGTGTCCGGGCCGGGCCGAGACCAGGGTGGGGCCGAAACGGAGCCCGTCCGTGCTCCACGATTAACTACACAGAGCGTTATGGGACCGTGCAACAACCGCGGTGAAGACGAGTATCGTCCGTGCCCGGTGGGACTTGGTAATATAAACTGGTTCATATAAAATCTATGTAATGTTTCAAATGCGTGTCCCGTCCGGGCCACGTATACAGGACGCCCAAGAAAAGATAAAATTACTTTAAATGCCTTACCTCTCCAGGGAAGAAACAGCAATGTTTCCTCTCAATGTGTTTGCCAAAAGTCATCTGCAGTAAGCTAAGTCGCATGTGCAATGTTTCAATTATATCCGATTCGCAAGCGAGTGGATGGCTCCTACGAGCACTCTCCCTACGTGGCATCTTGGCCTTTATCGACTGAAATCTATGCAACATCTGATTTTGCAGGCGTTGAAAATTAGAATTTAAAATGCCACTGCATATGGTGTTGAATTGCCGATTGACCTGTGAATAAGAAATAATGCTTTACAATGAATTATCACATAACTAAAAATAAGGTGTTCAAAAATTACTATCAGTTTAGGTTTAGGTGGAACAAAAATCCTAAATCCCAAAACTGATCACTACTTCTGCCAAATGAATTGAGTTAATCTACAAAAAAGAGCTTGAAAATTGTAAGGTAACTAGAAGTTGTATTTAATCTTGCAAGATCATGTGCAAATGAATAAAATTTATTAACCTTGCTTAAAAATGACTTTCATGTTATAAATGCAATCCAAATCAGAAAAATACCATACTCAAGAATACATTTACACAAAAGTACCACATTTTACCACTGTTTCCATAGTTTTATATTTTATAATGTAAAGCTAATTGAGCTGAAAGAGCCTACTTATGATATCAAGTTTCTGTAGATATATTTTATATCAACTAAACAATAAATTAAAATAAAAAGATATTAACCATCCTGAGTTGTGACACAGATTTGAATCCCAAGTAGCTGAGAATCTTCTCAATAACTTCAATTGGGAGGTCAAGTAAGTTGGTGTTGAAGATCTTAGGAGCTGGCACTAAAGCAGTGCACTTGGAAGTGGAAGCGTGAGGAGACGAGCCGCCGGGGAGCAAGGCGCTGGAGTGGCGGGTCACGCGAGACACCGCCACGGGCTCGCTGTGGGAGGGCCCAGCGCCGTCCCCGCTGCCGCTGCTGCCCACCACGCTACTCATCTGCCTCGTTGACACCATCTTGGCCAGCTTACTTTGTGTTATATCTGGAAACTAAGCTAATACTTTACGAATTACGACCTTTCCATATTCCTCCCTCAAATCACAATTCTTTACTAAATTAACCGAATTTTATTTAATCGGCCTACTCTACAGGTATGAACGAGTCAAAACTAATCGTTTTCGATAGCACCATTACATAGTAAAAATTAGAATAAAAACAAATTAGTCTTGTACACTACCGAGCAAATTCTAAAATGGAGGCCATGGATGGCTAGATCGCAACTAATCACTTGAAAATTTATGTATGATATCGATGCATAATAAACCCGAATCAAATTAATATTTTAATTAACCACTCACTCAAGAGTTCATGCACATGTTTTCTTAAATGATAGCGATAATATTTTGTAACAAATTAAATTACTGAAACGCAGTACTTCTCTTAGCGCTACGCTTTCACAAAAAATATTTTTTTGTTGGTTGGTTGGAGGAACTGCTGAGTGAAACACGAAGTCATGTAAATCGAGAATCGAGACTACGCTAGAGAAGTGCCACTTTCCTAATGAATTTTAGTGATGGGATGTCCAGTGCTATGTGAAGCTTACTTAGAAATACGGTGGCGCCACCAGTGCTTTTTAAGCTGTGTTTATGAGTTGCAAACTTTTGACACGACGAACGAGTATAACTAAATTTTTCAATTTGTTACTGTTCGTTATAATAACTTTGATATATTTGCTAAGTTTGTATACATCGCACAGCAAGAGTTGAGCAATCAATTTAAAAAAATTTGCAAAAATTTTGTTATGTGTCGTCGTCGTGACTAAGATCGCCAAGTAATATAATCAGGCAGGGGCGCAGCGCTTCGTGATCAAAATAAACTTCGGAATCGAAATGTTTCGACTTTCAACTTTGTCGGCCGTTTGGTGTAGTGGTTCGAATCGGACTACTATTCCGGAGGTTGCGGGTTCGATTCCCGCACAGTACAAACATTTGTGTGCATGAACATATTTGTTTGTATTGGACTGGGTGTTTTCTATGTATAATATGTATGTATTTACAAAAAAAAAAGTATTTAAGTATGTTTATATCCGTTGTCTAGTACCCATAGTACAAGCTTTGCTTAGTTTGGGGCTAGCGGCGTAGTGTAAAATGTCCAAGGATATTTATTTATTTATTTATTATTTATTTATTATTATTTCAAGCCCGTTACGAAATTTTTCGGAACACGTCGAACGTTGTCGGTCGAGGTGAGTAAGGTTTTTCGAATCAAAGTGAAGTGCGTGTCTAAAACTATCGTATATTGATTAACCTCACTCTGCCAACTTCGCGAGTACGTAGCTTAATCCATAATGTTTCTACATTGCCACTGGCAAAAGCTAGTTAAACAATATTTTTTTTTATTATTATTATTTTATTACAAGCTTTTTACAAGCTTTATATTGACTTCACTTGTTAGTATGTGTGGGACAAATCTTGCAACTGAATTTAAGACCACTTCTCCAGACTTCTCCTCAACCGATTGAGCTGAAATTTGGTATACTTATGTAAGTACGATGACAATGCAATGTTATGGAACAGTGGCGGATTTACCAATAGGCCAAGTAGGTCAGTGCCTAGGGCGGCAGATTTAGAGGGGCGGCAAATTTAGCAAATTTTTTTTTACAGAAAAAAAATGAATAATTATACGTATACCTACACAATCCATATATAAATAAACGATTAAAAAACGCACTGTAATATATACTTAGGTACTTATGTGATTATGAATTTTAAAATATTCCAATAGCGTTTCAATAAAAATAAAATAAAAAACTCTTAAGTAGGTAACACAGGATCTTCGGAGCCTAGCACGAGCACCATCTCTCCACAACTTCGTGTATATTGTTTTACAGGGTAGCCCAGAAGAAAATTCACTTTTGAAAATTCAAGGAAAAGAAAACTGTACATTTTTGTAGAACTTAAGTTATTGCAATTTATAGGAAATTTAGTGCAATTTATTTTAAAATTTACTATCTTTTATAAATTTANCTCGATCGGCTCTTTAATACGTTCTGTATTAAATTGGCGTAGGCTGTAGGTATGTACTTAACATAATGCATTACCTTGTATCTACTTAAATTCTTTCAATTTAGTAGTGCATTTCCTTTTATTTGAATTATTTCATTCTATTATTTAAATTTGCAAGTAAAAACCCATTAAATACGTTTATAGAATAATTAACCCTAAAATATAAAAAAGTGGTAACAAACAGCGCACAATAGTTTAAGAAGGTTTTTATTTGGCTCCTGTAAAAATAACTTTTTTGCATTTAGAAGGTCCTGCACTGACGCCGACGATATACACAAGTAATATAAAAAAAAATACATTTAAGCTATTGTCTGTCACCGGTAACCTCGGGAGAATAATGCGAGAGGAAAGCTTAGTGAATAGCTTTTTGGCCCCCGGGCCTCAAGGTCCCAGCGTTTCCACGTCGAAGGGTATAGATGACCCACGCTGAACTGTCCCGCCAAACTCAATGACAGGGGGGCGCTACCATCGTTCAACTATATGGTTTCCAACATGGCAAAAATCGGAACCAGCGATTCGGTACTGACGGTGGCGCCCCGCTGTCAATGTCATCGATAGGACAGTTCAGTATTTTGGAACTATACAAAGCGGTAATAGAGCAGCTGTCTAAAGCGGAATGTTTCCTTCTTACTCGATTGCGCCTCTTTCGAGTATTGCGCTATAGCTTATAACGCCATCTGCATTTTGAATTAATAATATACTAAAGTTAAATTTGTTTTATTAGGTTGGCACTATTTTATTTCTTGGCCTTTTCATTAAAAAAAAAAAGGTGTCATGAATGATGTCACTGACGTCACTGTCAGTCTTATGTCACATTTAATAAACAAATGGTTTCACATTTTTATCTTTCTTGATAAGAATTTTTCATGGAGTAGTTAAACTCGTGTCTCACAATTTTTATTCTATAAATTAATCACTAACATGTATTCTCGTTGTGGGAGTAGTGGTTCAATTCAAAACATACACCAAACTCCATCGTCTTCCAATCAAAACACAGGCAAGTGTTGCTTTTTAAGACCTTTGAACATCGTAGTTTTACGCTAAAGAAACGTACAATTAACCCATGTGAGGAAAGTGGCACTGAACTTTTGATCGTTATAATTAATCTACATTGCTATTTTAAGGTAAGACTCCACCAAAAGCTGTCATTGCAAAAATGTGCTATTTTGCGCAACAATTTTGTTCCATAAAATTATACAAAGTTTTGTTCCTCAGTAACTCAAACAGGAGGTCGTGATATACCCATTTCGATTTTATTTTAATTATTTTCGATTATTTTAACTTTTGTTTACTTTAGCCAGTTTGCATCATTGCTGGTGGAATCTTATCTTTAGATTTGTATTCTCATTAGTAACAACAAGCACCTTGTTTGATATAATTTAATGGGTGTTGTGTGTAATGTGTAACATGCTATGAAAAATAATATTAAAAAATTACATTTGGTTTTCAGAGGATGAAGATGATAGTGGAGACAACAAAGCATCTGCTTTGAGCTTTAAAGAAAGAAGAAGGGAAGCCCATACTCAGGTCCATACTATTTCAAAACATTTTATTTTTACTTCATTTTTATGTCGAAATGGCTAGTATTATTTAGTACTTTAACTACTTTTTTCTACATTATAGTTAAGTAAATTTTTAGCTGAATTGCATAAAAAATATAAAAAGAAATAAATAATAATTGCAAGTCTTGCTTTTTCTTAAATTGATGAAAATGTTGATACCACACCACAGTCAACAAGATTGGTAGAAACAACAGAGTATAGTTATAATAGCATTAATAATTTAGAAAAGCTTTAGTAAACAAGGCCAGCTAACCAAATTCAAAGTTAACTTAATAACTTACATTTTATTTCAAATTCTAGGCAGAACAAAAGAGAAGGGATGCTATCAAGAAAGGATATGATTCTTTACAAGAATTGGTGCCCACTTGCCAGCAGACAGATGCATCAGGCTATAAGCCTAGTAAAGCAGCTGTAAGTTACCAAATTTTATTATAAGATTTGTATCAAAATGGCATCAACAATATGGGGGAATGTTGAGCAGGAAAGTAAAATATTTGAGTTTAGTAATAAAACCTTTAGAATAGCTAATTATGTCTTATACAATAATTAAATGGACAGATATCATTAGGTCCTTACCTAGATAATATTCTAATACTGTAGAAATTAAATAGTGCCTTGTAGAAGGCCCCACAAAATGATTTAAATACATTTGACACTAAATCTCTTACACTGAGTTGGCAAAACTAACTTGCAACTTAAAAGAAAAGCTAGTGTTTGTTCTATTACTGCTGATATGAATAAATAATTAAACATTTGTTATCAGAATAGAGAGTAGAACTTCATATAAATGAGGTTTTTAATTCAACAACAATATACCTAGTAGTAGAGTTAGATGTTTTGTATGTTAATGGCAATAAAATGTATTTATCACAGGTTCTTCAAAAGTCAATAGACTACATTCAGTACTTACTTCAACAACGTCGCCGACAAGAGGAAGAGAGGAATGCGCTGCGTAAAGATGTGGTCGCTCTCCGCATCATGCAAGCCAACTACGAGCAGATCGTCAAGGCACAGCACTCGGTGCCTGGTCATAACGAGCAGAGACTCACTGACCAGGATAAGTTCCAAGTGGTAAGTTTAACTTTATACTTAGTCAAAAGTTATAGTATAATCTAAAAAATATTTGTTATTCATCCATCAAACATTTTCGAGAGAATAAAACAGTCCTACATGCCAAGAAATCAGGTTGTAAGGATTGTATTTATTTTTGATATGCTTCCATATATATATGTGATTACAAATGGCAGATTTAATGCCATGAAGGAAGGTATTATAAGAGTCTTTGTACTCAAACAAAAGGAGTTGATCTTTCTTCTCAATAATTGCAAAAGCATTCCCATATTTTGATCCATCAGAAGAAAAGAAAGACAAGCTATTGAATGAAATGATAAGTACTTTTCTAAATGTTTATTTGCCCAGTCCAATGCTATCATAATTATCATGTTTAGCTTTGTAGAACAATAGTATAACATTTTACATTTCCAGTATTGTAGTTAACTATTATTTGTTTAGTTCCAGGGTATAATGGACAAGTTATTTGACTCCTTCGAATCTGTGCCAACTAACAACTTTCACGAGTTTTCTGCGGGCGTCTTCAACTGGCTGGAGGAATACTGTAAGCCTCAGTCTCTGAGGACCATGGTACACGACGTGTTGCGGGAGCAGAGCTATACGCCCTGACTTACAATAATATACGGCCTTGTTTTTAAATAAACATTATGTTAGATAAGTTTAATATAGTTTTGTAAATTTTTCAGCACTTTATTGCAAAAAATTAACTTTAGGGACATGAAAGTGTATGTAAGTCCCCCTAACATATACTTGACGAAAATAGATTATATGTATTATTGAGGCCACCGTGCATTAATTTCGTTTAAAATTCAAAAGGTCAAGTAAACTATTGATAACTAAAACGATTACTCGCAGATCCAAGTCAGATAAGGTGAGCATAAGCTACACAAATTACGCTGAAAGTTTTGTATGTTAGAGTCGTCATAGAGCAGGGTAAGAAAGTAATTTAATTTACCAGAAGTACAATAACAAACTGCCGTTTTTAGTCAGGGTTGTGGTCAGGGCTAATGTTACCCAACATTTGAGTTATAAAATCGTCTCGTTAATTATATGATATTTTCAAAAGATTTCTTTGGGTTAACCTAGCTGGTTCAATTTTATATAGTTCAATCGTTGCCCTATTACATTGTAGAATTTTGTTGTAGTGAAGAGTTTATTTAATTCTACTGACACTCACACAGTAGATGCAGTTAAAATGATAATAATATGATTACCATATCTTTTCATATTCTTGACTATATCTTATCTTTGTTATACAGGGTGTTACTTTGCATTCTTGCCATATTTACAGAGGTTACTATATTACTGATACTGAACACAAATCCGTAAAAAAATAATGCCCGAAAAAAATTTTTTTTAATCTTGAGTATTTTATTTTATCGACAATCTGTTAAACACATCACTAATTATCGTAACGCATGCACATCACTTGTTGGCGATGGCGATGAAGACTTTTTTACTTTTTATTGTATTTTTAAATATCTATTGCAATCTATTGTCTTTAAAATGTCTTTTTGACACTTGTAAAAAACTGAAAAATCCATCAATCACAAATCACGTTATAAATAATACAAAAATGTCTGAAGTGTATTCAAACAACGAATAATTTAATCAAAATGGTGCTTGGAGTGTCTGCAAGACGTCTTAGACGAAATGCTTGATGACGTACCCTTATCGTTACACCAAATGCTCTACTACCAGCAGGATGGTGCTCCCCCACAATAAGGACGTCAAGTGCGCGAATAATACGTTTGGTGAACAGTGGATTGGACGAGTAGTCCAGTAGCTTGGCCACCACGATCCTCGGACCTGACACAAATGGATTTTTGGAGTGACTTGAAACGACTGGTATGCGCAGAAGAGATAAACAGTGTAAACGAGTTACATGAAAGGATTGTTTTAGTGAAACTGTGAGACAAAACGTTTATGTGTCGCGAAAACTAAAGCGAAAAACCTACGCTTCGCCGTGCTAGACTGTGCCTTCATCAGAAAGGAGGACACTTTGAACACTTGCTTCGCAGTACGTAAACTTTGTAAGTAGGAACTTATAAATAAATAATTAATTGTGAATAAGGTGATTTCATTTCATACTTAATTTATTAATTTGTAAAAATAGGGTACAATGTTTAAATTAATTAAAACCCTAATAATTATTACGTATTTTTGACGGTCCTAAGCCCGTAAAGTAGAAAGGAAAATCTGAAATCAACTGAAGAGTATTTTAAAATAATTATTATGACTGGATAAAAAGGCTGGTACCCAGAGCCATAAAACAACAGATTATTAAGAACTAGGCCACGCCCACTAGGTTTATTCCACTTGCACCTGTAGAACGTGCGAGACAAAATGGGTTTATTCCAATTTGTACTGAAAAACCAAATTTACTAAAATCTTAGTGTACTTTCTTTATGGGAGTCTCTTGTTTATCTTAAATAATAGGTATTGTTCCCTACTTTTATCTCTGTGAATATGGCAAGAATGCAAAGTAACACGGTGTATAAATTTTCTTCTATGAATTTATTTAATTTTTATCCTTATAGATCTTGACATTTACGCTGTTACTTATTTCTAAGGAAAATGGTACAAGCATTTCTTTCTTAAATTGGAAAATACAAGTATCCATTGTTTATTTTAATAGTTGATTATTCCCAAATGTGATGGTACGCATGTTGATAAGTTAGTGAAATAACGGGCACACTATTAAAAATGTATATTTTGCTTAGTTTGTTGAATATTGTTAGTAAATTTAAAACTAGAATGTAAGTAAAAAATAAATAGTAAAAATAGTTTGCCTATTTAGAGATAACTAAGCAAATAAATATTATAATGGTTTTATGTTACAAATTATATAGGTCTGTGTAAACAAGACAATAGACACGAAATAGTGCCTTTGGATGCGATTGCCTTACACATTTTATATTTGTATTGATGGAGATATCGGTTAAATACATAATAAATTGTTGTTTTTACATTACATCTTTTATTTCAACAGTAAAATGCTAAAGTTATACCACATACATCAATTTATTAACTCGAAAGGCGATCTCGAACTCTTTCTTCTCTCGTGTAATCAATTCTATTTAAAGTAACATCGAATAGACAAGTAGACTGGAAGTTCGGCAGCGCTTTTATGACTAAGCTAGTAAATTAATTTTTTCTTGAGAAAAGTAATAGTCCCAATTATTTTTCTATTTCGAGATGATCCCTATTGTTCGAGCAGCACTCAAAGCATCGTAAACGAGCAAAACGTGTTGGCAATTATCTGGCACGACAAGCTTTTTTTATCACCTCAATAACATCATAATGGCTGTTACCATTGTGTTCTGGTGGAGTAAGAATGTGCCGAACATGAACGTTGTCGTCGATTGACTCTTGCAACATTGCTGTAGTGTTTTTTAAGTAATGAAAAATTTTGCTCGTTTACAAGAGACTACTTTACATAGCTTTATCTGGCAACTCTTGTGGTGGTCAAGTTTAAAAAACTTTTTAGTATCATTCAGACAATTTACTTTTCTGATTTGTTACAACAAGGGAGTCAAGCCCGTTGAGATCTAAATGACTCATTGTAAATAACACAGTAACTAAGTAATTATTAACTTATTGACTATAAAAAGATGAAAGGCGTTACATTGAAACCGGCTGAGCGAACACTGAAAATGAGCAACCTAGCGTATAATTAGGTTTAAAAAAGGGATGGATATCAAATACCTACTTTATTATACCACACACTACTACCACTACATACTGTACACATTAATATTTAATTTTAAACCGTTTACGTTCATTGTAACGAAAATTGGAAATAACTGCCGCGGGTCTCAAATAACTTTACCTCATTTGGTACTATTTGTTTCATATCCATAACATTGTGATGTGCAGCACACATGACTAGAAGGTAATTAAATATAAAGTAATTAAACAAACATCGTGACACATGTAAATACCAATCAAGTTGGTAGCTTTACTTACAATACAACTTAATTGATTAAATAGTCCTATGGTAATGCTATGGTCAAGTAACAGACTAATGTTAGCTATAAAGAGTCCGTTAATGGATTCATTTCTCTGTGTAAGATGCGAACATATTACGTCAGTTAGCTAGCTAGGTATGCTGTTCTATTTTTATTCCTTTATTTTAAGATGAAACGCGAATTTATAGCCTGTAACGGTAAGGATAACAAAAGGCGATAGTTATATATATTTAGTTTTATGTCTTTGGAACGTCAGACGCGCTCGCTCTCGGTAGGTTGGGAGAGTAGCGTCACATCACCCATTGGGTAGCTCTCAGTCCGTCTTCCCGCGGCTACGTTCTTCGCCCGTTCCCTCGGCTCTCCACAGCACAGTCGCTTTAGCACGCAAGCATAGCACATCAGGAGCGACAGCATGAGAAGCAGCCCCACCACCACGGTGACCACCAGGAGTATCCGTAACTCGCCATTGGACTCCACCCCTCCTGAATTTCGGCCCATAGTCACAATAATTTTGACGGCTTTTCATCTGAAAAAATAGGAAACAACATTTTAGATGTCTTACATTAGGTACTTTTGATTTGTAGCGCATCCACAATGGCATGAGGGTAGCGCTCCATGGATTTTCATGGCAATGAGGAAACCTACGAGCGAGTAAAATTGTCAAGAAAACTCAGTTTTCACGGCTAGAATGCAGTTTTTTTATGAAAAAAGTTTATTCAGGAATTAAAGTACATAATTTGATGGCAACAACTAGGTACATACATTTACATCGATAAAGATATAAAAATAAGAAATAAAAGTTCAAGATTTAAAATACATTAGCCTGAAGAATCAACAAGCTTAGATATTGCCTAGACAAACAAGAATTAAGACATCGAGCAAGTTTTTTATTTGTTACTTGACCTGAGAACGTAATAAATCCTGAAGAGTATCTATCACTTTCTCGAGGCTTACGATCATAATAGTAAAACAAACGAGGTCAATAGCTCAGCGGGGGTGGGGTAGGTTTATTCGTCGTAGGCGTTAAAAGGTTTTCATGATAAGTTTCCTTGCTAGACATATTTTTATATCCCACATGAGATGAGGTTTATCGCTATGGAACAGACTGATTTTGTAATGACAATAGTTATTATATAAACTTATACTTTTATCTAGGTATTTGTGTAGGCACCTGAATTCGCTGTTTTATAAACTAAGACTGAAGTTTACAGAGCAGGTACTGCTGGAAATCGTAAATCTGGAGAGCAAACGTTGTTTGTCAGCTTTCTTTTTTAAATTAACTTTTGTTATTGGCTGCCTGATCGTTTCGTCAATCCATCAAATATTGTTTGCGGCTGTACGTCAACAGGCGGCGGGATAAAGCATAACAATCTATTTATGGGGTCCATATACCATTCTTTTCACGTAACAAGGTTAGGCTGAGTTGGTAATCACATATTTTAGGTTCTTGAGAAAAAATAATAATTACATTTCTATTATACACATTTTCTAACAAGTAACAGATTATTATTTGTGATAATTTGTAACAAATCCCCTTCTTGTCAACTTAAAACGTGCCTGAAACATCTAAAACGCGTTTGAGTTAGCTGAAAAGCGCCCTAGGCGTCATATTAATTGCAGGTAGCTCCAGTTTCCCCATTTCTACACTAGTTAGGCTGTAGTTACTTTACTGTAAAACGGTAATTGAATGCAATCAAACTGTAGGACTTATTTATTTAGTTTAAGGACAACGAACAAAGCCTACACCTTTGTAATATAGTGACCGTAATAAATTAAACATTATTAGAAGGGAAATAAAATTTATACAAATACTCTAAGGAGTCTAAACAGTTCGTTTCGGATACATAGACATAGTCTAAACTTTAGACAATACCTAAACAAAACCCTACCTACATCAGCGACTATTTAGGGTAGGTACTAGGTATACCTAATAACTGTTAAATACCTAATTGAATAAAAGTAATAGTTATTAAACTATCATCACACTTTTAGTAGAAAGTAGGAACGCCACTCACGTCCATATTATGAACACGATGGATATTGCGCCCTCAGGCAAGACTCTTTCATTTATATTACCCATATAAGCCGCGGAGCACACTTATTCATTGTCCAGATTGGCCAAAAGCCTATTGTTTGAAAATAGACTTATTTTTATGACCAGTAGAAATATGGTTTCAGACATGAAGCAAGAAATCATTATCATTTCAGCCACAGGACGTCCACAGCTGAACATAGGTCTCCCCCAATGATTTCCACATCCCACGGTTGGTAGCGGCCTGCATCCAGCGCCTTCCTGATACCTTTATCAGGTCGTCGGTCCACCTTGTGCAAGCAAGAAATGTAATGATTTAATTACACTAACAATTTCTTATTGAATTTTGCTGTGATATGATGTAGTACAGGTAGGTATTAGGATCTCAATGTTTCATTAAACGTTATTAAAACGCCTTTTAAGCAAAAACATTATTTTAATGTAACTTACTATGTTTAGTTTTCGACAAACCCAGAGAAAAAGCCTATTAGATTATCTTTTATATTCCACGAACCGCGGCCTACAACAGGGCTCATATTAGAATATTAAAATTGTTGTCATAAAAGCTTTTGATCCAAGAAGGTTGGTAACGTGTGTAGTAAAAATATGCCTTCTTTTACATAGTATTGTTTTTATCACCATTTTTCTAGTCTTCTTAACATTTAAGTCGCGGTATTAACAACTTTACTGAAAAATATATTAGTGCAGATAAGTAAATAGAGATTTTTTATCTTACTCTCACTCTCTACTTTTAAATAACTTATTAGGTTAAAAGGTAATATTTCAATGATATTATTATCAAGACATGTAATTCATCTTTGACACCGTAGGTATGTAAACTAAGGTACTTTAATCAATTTTACGGCTGTTTCAGCTTGCATGCACGCTGAAGAAACTAATTTGCGCACCGCTGATGAGTTCCAATATAGTTGCGAAGTTCAGTCCTCTGACGTCACAGCTCACTCACATATCAACTCAAGAATAGGTACCTATATACGAGTTATGTGCAAAAGCTTTTCAACTTTTGATTGCATTTCACAAACTCTACAGGTTGCCTTTTATTATGATGAACTAAAACAATATAACAATTTGGTTCAATCAGCTTGAGTAAGTAATAAAACTGAAATCAGTCGCTCCGTTTTTGATTTAATTAATAAATTCTTGCCCTTTTGAAGCGGCCAGTGCAAAGCTTTATAAAATAATTCTCTGTTACCAAGTTACGAGTTCTCAAGACTTGAGTAAAATCTGAAATGTTTATAAAACAAATAGGAGCATAATGTTATTTATTTATTTATAGGTACAACAACAGAATACAATCTCAAATGTTATGTCATAAGAAGTTATGATTTATGCTTTGTCATTAGGTATTTCTAAAAAATTACCTACTTAAATAACTTCCCCGTAATATGACTACAAAATATTTAATGAAGATCCTCTCTGCATTTCAGACACAAGGGCCGTGACTTTATCACGCATACCAGCCAACAATTCAATCTAGCTAAAACAAACAAGTTCGTTACTTAATATTACATACTTTAGAGAAATAATAACAGAGTTATTTCCCCTAAGCGCTGGGTACACACTTGACCGCTGCACAAACAGCGGAATATCGCTCTATGTTTGCGGACAATTCAACTGAGACTCTGAAAATTAAATTTCCAGCGTACTTAATATTACGTCGGCACTACGACTAAGTTAATTAACAGTCCTCTGCGCCTGCATTTGAGTGAACATACGTTACCACATGCATTTTGTACATTGAAATATTATAAATGTGTCAGTTTGTATTAATTTGAAACATTCGGCTGTTTTAGTATACGGTAATTTACACACTAATAACCATACACGTGCTTAATAATAATGCTAATAAGTTAAGACATTGAACCAATATGGTAGGTATCTAATATTATTTATGAACTTACAAAGTTCAAGCCCGCGGCTTTGACTGCATGGAATTAGGTCGTCGTAGAAAATTTAATCTGCATCGCGCGATCTGTGCCGCGATCAAAATCTCCGTCATAAATTGTAAAATGGGCTTTTAATTTCATTAAAAGTATAGATAGGTATTTCTAGTACTCTACCTACATAACCTGGAATTTGATGGAAACTTTCGCACAAATACAGTGTGAGTCACGTTAAAGTGTACATATGAAAATAGATGAAACTAAACCAATTTTTGTCGACAAAAAAGAGGTCAAAAATTTTTTGAGATATTTTTTTAATTTTTTATAGAATTTTTTTTCTTCAAATAAATTACTTATTGTAAAGAAAACGTAATAACTTTTAAACTAAGCGGTATATCCTGATAAAATAAAAACAGTAATAATGCTAAATAACAGGCGATACTCAAAAAATACAAAAAATACACAAAAAATGCCAACAAATAATAAAAAAAGATACTTTTTGAAAAAAATCTGCTTAAAAATTCGTGTTTTTTTTGTTATTTTATAAGTTTCTCAAAAAAATGCCCCTATAACCGGTGGTTTTTATTACTTTGTATTATTTTCTATCGTATCATCTTTGTAAAACCAAAAATCGCATGTCTCTATCCCTATCACAACATTTGCTATGATCGTTTGAACAATGGCCTGCCACAACATTATTCTCCGCTACAGGTAGAGACAATTTTAATTTTAACTAAAATGCTTATTTTACTTCGAAATCTTTTGTTTTTATTTGAAATCTAACTTGTTTTTATCAANGGCTGTATCTTTTGATTGGCTTGGCTTAGAAGTTTGATATTTTCACAGCTTAAAGGGACAATAGACCTGAGTATTTCATGTGAATTTCAGCTTGATACGTTCACGCGTTCTTGAGATAAAGGGTCTTGACAGAAGGACGGACGGACAACAAAGTGATCCTATAAGGGTTCCGTTTTTTCCTTTTGAGGTACGGAACCCTAAAAACACGAATTTTGAAGCGGATTTTTTTCAAAAAGTATATTTTTTTATTATTTGTTGGCCTTTTTTGTGTATTTTATGTATTTTTTTAGTATTGCCTGTTAGGCTGTTATTTAGCATTATTACTGTTTTTATTTTATCAGGATATACCGCTTAGTTTAAAAGTTATTATGTTTTCTTTACAATAGGTAATTGGAAGAAAAAAAAATCTATAAAAAATTAAAAAAAAATCTCAAATATTTTTTGACCTCTTTTTTGTCGATAAAAATAGGTCTAGTTTCATATATTTTGATATGTACACTTTAACGTGACTCACACTGTATCTTGGAGATATACCCTACCAGTATGCCTTAGTTCCGTAAATGGACTAGCAAAAGTGACTCTATTCACTTATTGTGATGCACAAATTGCAGTGCCGGTCTTAAAACAATTTAGATGCAAGGATTGCGAATTCGGGTACAATGCTCGCCTCAACTACAACTACCGTATAATGTAAGTACATTGCTACGAGCTCTGCGGTGTTGCAATATTGCAAGCGTCTTTCAGGTAACTTTCAGCTCATTTGAACTTGGTGAATAGGTTGTGAGTATATCG